AAAATCATGGTTTAGACTTTCATAATCGATTTTGTTGGATATTTAAACAGGCAGAAGATCAAAGTGAGAAGAAATGACAACTTATTACTTTATCAGTGCACTTTCTCTAAAACCACTTTTCACCAACCTTTCAAGGCCAATTCACAGGTTCCACCGACTTGTTATTCTTTTCTTTCTCTTTTCATTTTAGTCCATCTATCTCCACAAAGCGACGGAGTAGGGACTGGATGGGGCTGCAAGATAATATAATTTATAAGTTAATAATTAAAATTAATATTATAATTTTTTAAAATAATTATATTAGGAAAAAATATAATAGCATAAGTAAAATTATGGATATTTTTATGGGAAAATTTTACTGAGGGATCCTTAACTGAAGTTAATGAAAAAAAAAAAACGCTCCAAAATTTTTGACGTTTCACTGCACGTCTAGGGTGTGATCTGAAATCAATTTTGAAAGTAAAAAGACAAAGTTGCTTTTAAGACTGTTGCAAAAAAAATTGAAGCATGTAGATGAGAGTTCGAAGGACGTTCAAATACACACATTAATTTGGGAGCTTTGAAGCACATAAAGGAGAGGCGCCAAGTTGTTGACACAATTATTAGGGAAGGTCCGTCGCTGGACTTGTTATCCAAGAATTTGCATTGAAAGACTAACCAATAAGTTGCACGAGATTATTTTGGTTGAGATTTTTGTTCGTTGAGGTTTGACGAGGAAGAGGGTTCTATTGAGTATTTCACGGAAGGTGAACCGTTGTGAACTACGAAAGTGATAGAAGCATATTAATGTAAGTTAAATTGTGTTTTATTTGGATAGTGGTTTCATAGAAATCTTTGTTTCATATTGGGAAAAATAATTCATTAGTAATTAGGGAAGTTTGAATTGGTAAGCCTTGTTATTCATTGCACACATAGTAGTTGTTGAGTAGGTTACTAGAGTTGTTCATTAGCCAAATAGCAATTTGTAGGCAAGCGTAGTTAGGGAGATGAGCAAGCTAGGTTAAAGAAATGAACATGAATTGTGAGTAAACAAACAAGTTTTGTTGTATAAATTAACAAGTAACTGAATGATAATGAAGAATTAAGAGTTATAAATAACCCAATCTAGTTGTTCATTGCCCTAACAATAGTGGTTAATTAGTTGAGTTGTTGATGATGTAATTTTGTGCGGATCAAAATGGTGCTATCTTGTGAAGAATTTGATTTTATTTGATCTTTTTTATAGGGCAAAGGATAGTGAGAAAAGTATTACAGGGTGGCACCTTTATATAAGGAAGTTTCATGAAAGTAGAAAAGGAAAGGGGACATTTCAACAAAATCATAAGAAGGCAAATTATGGTGCATTGGCTCATCTGCCGTGACGCATGGTACAGAGATCCCTAGACTCAATTTGAATCTCTCTTTATGTCATGACTTGCTCGTACTTCAATCTAGCTCTCTTTTAAGGCTGTCTAATGACCCATTAACTACATTAGTTTTCTTAAACATTATTAACATAAAATCCACTTAATTTGATAAAAATATTATTATAAACATTGAAAATTTCCAAAGTTAAAAATCTATAGGATGTCATATGGCTATTCCCACATCAATGGTTGCATCTAAATTTGCTTTTAGCACTAGAGGGTTAGTAGTTGATTAATATAGGAGTTCATTATCTCCTCGAATGACTGAAGCACTTATTTGTGTTTAAAATTAGCTCCTCCCTAGAACATGTTGTTCAATTTGGTAATGTTTTTTATTTACATTATTTTTTCCTGTATTGTTCTGTGCTTTGAATATTTTTTATTTGATTTTTTTCTTTTAGAAGTAACTACTATAATTGAGAAAGGACATTACAATACAATGATTGTGGATGGTTGAAAGAGAGACAAATATTATTGCTTGAATGCTCAATATGGTAATTTCTTTGATTTAATTTATTTTTTATGTTATAAAGTGTCATGTAATTTAATTCTTATTCTTTTATTTTAGGTTGTTAATGGTTCAACCTTGAAGGAGGAATGGCTGAATGAGCATTGGCAATTTACTAATTGTCTCATTTATGTCGGACTATCTTTTTAGGATTAAGTTTCAGTTTGAATTACAAATGACCGGATGTGTTGTTGTAATGTGGTGTGGGGAATGGGGAATTTGCTATTTCAAACTTCATATTTAACTTGTTTAGTGTTCATGGACATATCGTTTTTTAGTTATTGGCTTGATTGAGGAAATCTTTATTTATTTATTTATTTGAATTAGATTTTATTTAGGTATGTTTATTTCTTGTCTAGGTTACTTTGAGCCTATTATATGTTATTGGGCATGGTTTATTAGGGCTACTATGAGCCTAATCTTAATATAGTTTGGTTTAACAAAAAGCTTTTAGGCGCCCAAAAAAAGCAACACTAGACATATAGTAAAAGGTGCTTGATCCTTGCTTGCCCATCTACTCCAACAATGGCCATCTTTCTACTAGGATCAAGTTTTTGGCATAATTTTCTTGCTTGAAGATATTTTGGGTAGGGCATTGGGTAGGGGACTGCCCTACTCGATCCGGTCCATGTACTTTTTATAAGGTTATTAGCGAAGTGAGACTGAGCTTTCAAATTGGGACCTGGTTTTGATGCTTATCACTGTGATGAGAAGTGGATCTTCTAAAGTTTGATCTAGATAATCCAAATTCAAAGTAGTATTATATTTATTAAAATAAAAATTTATAAAAATTATAAATTATTTAATATTTTTTTATTTTTACTATGGTCTAGATTTAATTTGAAGGGTCAATTGATATTAAAATTTTTTAAATTGATGTATATTGACTATCCAGATATATTCTCCATAGTTCAGATTAATACCAAATTAAATCTAAACTATACAAAATATATTTAAATAGTCAATATATAGCAATTATAAAATTTTTAATATAAATTAAACCCTATAAATTAAATCTAAATTAGATAAAAAATAAAAAATTATTAAAATTATTTATAATTTTTATTTTAATAAATATAAAAAATATATATATATATATATAATAATTTAAATTTAAATCATTCACATTAAAATTTAAATGATTTAAATCTCATTACATATCAGCACTCAAAACAAGTCCTTCAAATTGAAAGACTGGTTCTTTATCTATCTTGCCAGTCGTGCCACGTTAGCCTCTGTTATAACATTAGTCATTCCACAACATGTATGATTCAAACGTCACTATGCCTAAGACCGTGCCACTTGGGATGCCTTGGACATTGATTAGAGATGCGAAGCACGAGAACCTTATCTCCCTTATGACAATAGGATGGGGCTTCGTTAAACACCTTGATGATTTTTGGGTGAATTTTCTAAAATTAGCTTTACGTTCATATTTTTTTATCAGATATCCTCAAAAAAGAGTGAGCTGTACTGACACCTCTATCAGATAAGGTTGGTTGCTATCCAAAAGGGTTTGGTCGAGTGGAAGCGTGCTAGGTCCGCAAAGCTGTCGAATGTGTATACGGATACTTCAAGTAGGAGGTCTTTGGCTTGATTCCTTGTAAAAGTAGATAGAATCACAGTCAGCCTCTTTTTAAAAAAATTAATTATAAATAAAATCAATAATAAATCTTATTTGAAAAAATAAATTATATTTTATATTTTAATAATAATTTATTTTATATTAATTCTTATTTATAATTAATTTTATTAAAAAAAACCTGAGTGTAATTCTTCTTAAAAAGTATCGAGGGGAAGTAACCACGTCACTCCCCGCAACTGTGAAATGTCCCCTCCACAGTTTTCAGATAAAAAAAAAAAAAATTGATTGCATCCGTGGAGTCTATATTCTTTCTTTTTAAATGTTAAGATTCGAGCAGAGTTGTACACCACATTTAATAGTAGCTTTAAGCATCTTTCCTAATTAAAAAAATATATATCTGCTAGTGCCTACCGTTTCAATCAATTTTAAATGAAGTTTTTATAATTAATTTTATTTTAATTAAATCTTTATAATTTGGTCAATTAGATTTTTTAATCTTTAAAGATTAAAATTCTTAAATTTTTTCTTAAAAAATTAAGTATTTTCATATTTTTAAAATGACTATATGATTAATTATATACTCTACTCTCTCTGTTAAAATATGTAAGGCATTTTTTGAGGAGTTAGATGTTCAAAAATATAAGGTATTTTGAATCTTTTAAGGTGTAATCATTGTTTTTTTTTTAAAAAAAATATCCATATTAATAGTAACTTTATATTTATTATAGGGTATTTAATAGGAATAAATATGAAAAGATAATGTTAGTTTAAAAGTAGATAATTACTTTATGGGGAGGTGAGATTTGATTAAAAATACCTTACATTTTTTAACGAAGAGAGTAATTTTTATAACTCAAAATTTATATAAATAGGTTGTCTTATAAATAATTTTTTAATAAAAATGTAAACAGTGTATTAAATCAAAAAATTTATTTTGAAAAAAGTATTAAATTATTTTTGTGGTAAACTCCAAGAATATTTTATTTTGTAAAATTTAATAATTCAATATTAATTTTAACTTTCAAGTGTTAACATATATAAATAAAAATATAAAAAATTAATTAAAATAAATAATTTACATGGATCTAATTTAAAATTGAATAAAATTATAAGAACATGTAAATATATTTTTTGTTTTTGAAAAGAAATGAAGAAAAAATACAAATAAATAGAAGGAAACGTTCAATAATGAGCGGATTTTTTTTTCTTTCTCTAGTCCACCAAAAACGTTGATTCAGTCATTCCTCATCCAAAGGCAATTATAAAAACCCATGGCCTACCACATTCACATAAATATTAATTATTATTATTATTATTATTACCACCAATGCAACTCCAATCATAACTCATGGCCCGCAACATACATGGACATCATCATCATCATAATTACCATTATTTTCATTTGAGCTTAATAATTTTTCACTGTACTTCGTTTTGTCTGTTATGGCGAGTTTCTCCGCAAACACAAGCAAAGTCAAAAGAAATGGCAACTTCTTATCACTTTCTCAAAAGCACGTTTCAGTATCCACCCACTTTCCCTGACCTTATACGACCACTCCATCATTGACTGACCCAACGAATTTAGATCCACTTGCAAGCTCACTCGCCTGAAGATCTGTTTCCTTCTTCGTCACGCTCGCCTTCATTCCTTTCTTTTCTGAGAAAACCCACAAGCCTTTATTCAATGGATGCTACTGTTGAAGCTGCCCGTTCTTCCTATTTCTTGAAGTCGTCAATCCTGCCATGGAAGTATCATGTTTTCTTGAGCTTTAGGGGAGAAGACACTCGAAAAGGCTTCACAGCTCATTTACATGATGCTCTTCGACAAAGGGGTATCATAACCTTCATAGATGACGAGCTTCGCAGAGGAGACGTTATTTCCTTTCAACTCGTCCGAGCAATCCAAGATTCTCTCATCTCTATTGTTATTCTTTCGCAGAACTATGCTTCATCAACTTGGTGTTTGGATGAACTCCAAAAGATTCTTGAATCTAAAGAATCTCTAGGTAGAGAAGTTTTTCCGGTGTTCTATAACGTAGATCCATCTGATGTGCGGCAGCAAAGAGGAACATTCGCAGAGGCTTTTCAAAAGCATAGTGAGAGATTTCATGAACATGAAGGGAAGGCACAGAGATGGAGAAATAACTTGAAAGATGTTGCAAATTTATCTGGCTATCACTCTAAGAATAAGTAAGTTTTCATATATCATTCAATTTGTGAATTGTGAGATCTGTCCTAACTTACTCTGACTAGGTTACCTGATCAAATTTAGCTGAATTCACACGACATTCTTCTTGTTTTAAAAACATACATGATCGGGTTATATTTGATAGGGATTACAATTTACAAATAAAACTCATCTAACTAATTACTATTTGTAAAGGAATTAATTTTTTACAAAATATTGTATTACACTTATATTTTTAGTATGATACTAAAAGTATTCAATAAGTTCACGATTTTATTTTATTTTTATTGTCTTAAAATTTGTATTTTCGAAAAGTACGCACATGGAACATAAATAATTTCATCAAAAGAAGACAGACTTCATTAAAGATTTTTGAAATATGCATACCAAATTTAATTTGATTAAACGTCAAAAGAGATAATATATTCTATAAGTAATAATATTTATGTACAATTTAACATATATATAAGCTTCCTTGTAATTTGGTATCTTTATGTTTTATTTTTCTTTTTCATTCTCTCTAGGATTGAAATTTGGAGTGACACATTTCAAATAGGTGAGGATTTGATAGAGATAATATAGTCATGTTTGCTATTTTTCTAGTTTTGGGATATCTTATGTTTACAAAATTTTAAAATCTCAATTAACTGCTTTTTCTTAATCTCCTCTTTCTTGTAGGCTTGACCCAAAATTCATTGAAGAAATTGTCAAAGGTGTATGGACAAAACTACAACATGTCCTGCCTAGTTACAAAACCAACAAATTTGTTGGAATGGAGTCAAAGATAAAAGAGGTTAATTTGATTTTAAAGATGGGACTCAATGATGTTCGCCTATTAGGAATATGGGGAATGGGCGGTATAGGAAAAACATCTCTTGCAAGAGTTATCTATGAAACAAGCTATTATCAGTTTGATCTTTGTTATTTTTTTGCTGATGTTAGGGATGTTTTTGAAAAGGAAGGATTAGTTCCCCTACAAAAAAGATTTCTTTCACATAATGGGAAGCTGAAAGGAATAGAATTTGATGATGCATATGATGGAATGAAGAAAATAATAAGCATTCTATGCAACCAAAAGGTTTTGATAGTGCTTGATGATGTAAGTGACATGAGCCAACTTGAGTACCTTGCTATAAAGCAAGCTTGGTTAGGTATAGGAAGTAGAGTAATAGTCACTACTAGGAATAAGCAGCTATTGGTAGCTCATGGAGAATTTGAAATTCACGTGGCACAATGTTTAAATGATGAGGAATCTCTTCAACTCTTTTGTCAGAAGGCTTTTAAAAGTGATAAACCAAAAGAAGATTATTTGGAGCTGTCAAATAACGTGGTTAAATTGGCTGCTGGCCTTCCTTTGACACTTGAAGTGTTGGGTTGTCATCTGTATGGAAGAAACATAGTTGAGTGGAAAGATGCTTTGGAGAAAATAAAGAAATTTCCACCAAATGACATTCTAAAGAGACTTCGAATAAGTTATGAAGCATTAGATCCAATGGAAAAAAAAATATTTTTGGATATTGCATGCTTCTTCAAAGGAATGCACAAAAGTAAAGTGATGGAAATATTAGAAATTTGTGGTTTTCACCCTATCATTGGTATCAAAACACTTGTTGACAAATGCTTGTTAATTGAATATGAAGACGATCATGACCCATCTTTAGGCATGCATGATTTGTTACAAGAAATCGGTAAAAGTATTGTTTTGGAAGAATCAATTAAGGATGCTAGTAAACGAAGTAGGTTATGGTCGATAGAGGATATTATTCATGTATTGACAAAAAATAAGGTAATAAGTTCCTTCTATTCTGGATACTTTATTAATGTTAGATGTTTGCAAATATGTTTTGATTAATAAGCTCATTCATAGATACTTAATTAATCATTGTTTTTTTATCAGGGAATTGGCTTTATTGAGATTATACAGCTTGTATCATCTATGAAATGCAAAACAAGTTGGGGTCCTGAAGCATTCTCAATTATGTATAATCTTAGAATACTCATAATCAGATCGTGTGATGTGTGCCTCCCTTTGGGACTTGAATGCTTTCCTAGTTCATTGAAAATTCTTGAATGGGAGAAATATCCATTAAAATCCCTCCCACTTGGTGTTCATCCGCATGAACTTGTGCAAATCAAAATGCATCATAGTAAAATCACAAAACTTTGGAATGAAGCCCAGGTACGAACATTTTCTTTATCATATTTGTGAATATATATATATATAAATGCAAAATCTAATATTTTCTATATTTGTTTGAACTAGATGTCAGGAAAGTTAAAGATAATTGATTTGAGTTATTCGGAAGATTTAATTCAAACTCCTGATTTTTCATTATTGTCAAATCTAGAGCACCTAGATCTTAAAGGTTGCATAAAACTTGTTGAGGTGCATCCATCACTTGGACAGCATAAGAAAATCACTGAAGTGAATTTGGAAGCTTGTAAAAATCTAAAAGCTCTTCCTTGTAGGCTGGAAATGGACTCTTTAAAAAAATTGGCTCTTTCTGGTTGCTCCAAATTGAAAAAGCTTCCTGAGTTTGGAGAAAATATGAAATGCTTATCAATATTGAAGTTGAAAGATTGCAAAAATCTTCTGTGTCTTTCAAGTATTATTGGTAACCTGAAATCTCTCAAAACTCTTGATATATCTGGTTGCTCAAAATTTTCATCATTACTAGAAAATGTGGATGAAATTGAGAGTATAGAGGAGCTTGATGTGAGTGGTTCTTCTATAAAAGAAATACCATCATCCATTATTAATTTAAAATTCTTGAAGAGATTAAATGCAAATGGATGCAATGGAATTGCACTAGACTCTTCATGGAGCTTACTTTCTCCAATTGCAAGGGTCCTCGGGTTCAATAGTTATAAAGCTCCCATGAGGTTGACACTGCCTCCTTCTATCTCTAGCTTATCCTTATTGACGGAATTAAACTTAAGAAATTGCAATTTAAGTCCTAGATCAATTCCAAATGATCTCGGTTGTTTACCATCTTTGGAGCTTCTTGATCTTAGTGAAAATGATTTCAGCAACCTACCTTTTGGAAGTTGCGTTCTTCCACCTTCATTCTCAAGTTTGTCCTCATTGAGGGAATTGTACTTGAGTCATTGTAATCTATGTGATGGTTCAACTCTTAATGATCTTAGTCGCTTGTCATCCTTAGAACGATTATCTCTATCAGGGAACAATTTTACTAACCTACCATCTACTTTCATCTCTAAGCTCCTGGCTCTACAATATCTTTACATGCTTGATTGCAATAGGCTTTTATCACTGCCAGATGTTCCACCCAATATTAAATATCTTGATATAGGTTGCTGTCATCCCTCAACAATGAGAGTCTTATCATCTCCACATGTGTTATGGAGAATTCTTTATCATCTTATAATAATATAGTATGGCGTTCAGCACTTGTTTTTGCTCCAGGGAGTGAAATTCCACCTTGGTTTTATAATCAAGATTTTGATTTTCTTGACAGTGAAAAAAGCTGCATCTCAATAAAAGTTGACACTTCTCAATTTTGTGGTTCAAGTGAAAGCTATAGAATTTTTTGTTGCCTTGTGATACAAGATATGGTGCCAGAAAAGCCAACGAACATAAGTCACTATTTGATTAAATGGCACAACTTTAGCTTTTGCCCCCGTAATTTAGAAGCCAACATCTGTCATCTGCTTATTTTTGTTATTCATCCCTCTTATATGGAAAATGCATGCAATGACCAAGTTGAGATAGAAATTCAAACAACTTGGTATTCGTTATTGCCTAGTCATAAAGGTGAAAAAATAGAGTTAATAAGAAAGTGCGGGTGGCGTGTAGCAAGCAAGGAAGAAATTGAAGAGTGCATGCATGACCAAATGCCATGAAGATTTGGCACAAGATATGATTGGTAACTCAACATCTTCCTTTATCTTTTGTTTTATGTTGAAATTGTTCTCTGTATAGTTTATATAAATACTTGTTATATGTAACATCCTGAATTTCTTAATCTCGAGATTAGTGGTTAATCGATGGTAAGATAGTAATTAGTGTGGGATTAGATGTTTGGATGATTACTTGATGATTTGATTCATTAGGATGTTGTATGACTAGGTACAGGTGGAAGGAATGCGTTTCGGGTCGAAGCAAGTGCACATAGTGATAATAAATCTTACTGTGCCATGTGCTGTGGTTTGTGCTGCATGCGCCGCAGCACATAGACCAAAAAATGCCTTCATTAATCATGAAATTTCAAAAATTTCATAAGAGTAAATTTTAGAAACACATTAGAGGAGGAGAAAAGAAGGGATGAGAAGCTAGAGCAAGTTATTTCAGGTTATTGGGAGGTGCTTCTGATCGATAACTTATCAAGTAAATTATGTATAACTCTTATCTTTCAGTCTACATAAATTTCTCTAAAAATGAGTTATAGAGAAATTAAATCGATAAAATTTAAGGGTTTTGATTCTTGCCCAATAGTAATAAAGTTTTCGAGAGTTAAGTTAGAGCTTTGTGATTGATTTAAAGCTGAACGGTAGAGCTTTAAACTTGTAGGCTCCATTTGACCCTTAAAGAGAGAAAGTTTAGGACAAAAATCATGTTTAAGTGAAACAAGACCAGTTAAAGTGATGTAAAATAGTAATCGAATAGTATTAGACCTAGAATGGATAAATGAAAAAGAATTTATGGTTGAGTATAGCTCTAAGTAGTAAATATGAGTTTTTGTTCAAAATAAATCAAATGATTAAAATGTGTTAAATATGTTCAGATTGCCCTATTGGACATGTGAGTAGAGAAAGGAAGTTTGAAATATGCTATTGTGATAGTTGAAATTTACGGGTAACCTTTCTAGTAACAGAAGAGTTAAGGTAACCGAATAATTTTCTTTGTTTGACTGTTTATTGTAACTGTGTATGAGTATGTTATGTAATGCATGAAATCATTTTGAACTAAGCATGTTTTATAGCATTGCATAATTGTTGTGTGAAACGACTTTTGATTGAAATAAAGCATTGAAATGTGTGATTTCAAATGGCATGTATTAAATATATTTGTTATGTGTAAGAAAGTATAGAAAGCAGTAATGAGGAACATTAAATAGTTTGAAAAGCATGATCATAGGGGTGGGAGTTCACCAAGTAGAGAGGTGGTGATAAGACTATATGGCATATTCTCCTTAGTGCCCGGCAGGGTATGGTGTTAGAAAAAATTCTCCTTAGTGTCTTATAAGGTGAAATGTTGGAGATCTCTTTAATACCTATTGAGGTGTGTTGTTGGAGATGTGAGACTCCTTAGTTTCTATGTGATATAGTGTTGGAGTCAATAACATCCTATTGTGTGTATTAGGGAAAACTATAGTCCGTATGTGCGATAAAACATCTTTGGTCAGGTGATTCTACCACTGCAAGTGAGCTCAAGGCCAATTGAAATATACATTAGTCTAAGACGAGCCTATGGTTTCGTGTCGAAGGAATTTAGAGGTTCGATCGATGGTGATCATGCTATGAGATGCTATGTGAAAGTGGTGAAAAGTGGGGAATGGATATGTTATATGAATATGAATGAAAATGAGATATGTGATATAAATACTATTTTAATGAGATTTAAATGATATACTATGCTTTACTTTCATATTGTTGCATGTGATAGTCAATAGGAATGAGTTATTTTATTATTGAGATTTTTATTTCACCCCTATGGTTACATGTTTACAGGATCGGGTAGTATAAGGGAAGAGAGTTTGAACTGACTTGAGTTGTAAAGCCACGTATACTCTGAGATTGTGTAATGAATTAAGAAACTTATGTGCATATATGTAAATGAGTTGCCATAAGGTTACATGCATGACTTAATTAGTTATTTTGTGAAATCTTAGCCCAATTGTATATATATGTGATAGAATGAATTAAGGGGCTATGATTTGGTTATGTTTATGTTAAAGTTGTTGATTGTTGGTGAATCTTAAGCTTAAGTGAGAAATTATGATGAAATGAGCAATTTAAAGCTAAGATTGTAATGTGAATTTGAATATGTATGTTTATATTGAGAGAAAGGCCAAGTGGCTTATATTGTGCCAAGTGTAAACAAATTGTGTAAATGTGTGAAAAGTGAAATTGACTGTAGAAGGGTCAAATTTTGATATATGTTTATAATTGTGATGAATTATGGTCAATCAGGTATATTATGTTCTTTTAGACTTGATTTAAGGCCTTATGTGGTCTAATGAGAGAAAGAGATCGATTTGACTGTTTGGGTGTGCAAATTTTTCATAAAAGTGACTTTTTGCACTCGAGTGTTTAAATTTTGATTAGACTAGTAGATCGTGTCTAAACTTTTTTCATTAGTTAGCTTATGAATTAAGTTACTTATGGACATTGGAATCATTCCGATCGAATGTTATATGTGAAAATGGCGTACATCGAAATTTTATCATTTTTGTTATTAAAATGATAGCAGAGGCACGCTACGGTGCATGGTGTCACTGTGGTGCATGACACAGAAATGTTGAATGTGTGGCTCTGCGCCACACGTTGCGGTGCACGTACTGCACATCACGGTGCATGGACCATTTTCTGATTTGATATTGTGAATTTAGATACATGTAATGATTGAAATGGGTATATATAAGTCTTTTCTGTTGTGTATTGCTTTGATTGCATTGTGATTTGAATGGTTTTGTAAAATGAGTCTTGAGCTCAAGCTTTTCAAACAAACATTTGATTATTGATTGGTGTTTTTAATGTGGTAATTTTATTAATCTTTTCCTGTATTTGGAGGATATAGGGAAAGGTTACATTATATATGTGTATAAATATTTAACAATACTTTTATTTACTTGTCTATGAACTTTGAAAGTAGCACGTTTAGCACACAAGTTCCATGATTTTCACTCCACTTCCATCTTGAACATGCCATTTGTTTTTCCTATTTTCATATAAATTAAGTAAATACTACTTTTGTAGTAGCTTCTTAATCTATATATCTTATCTATATATCCTAAGTATTTGTCGTGGAAGCAATAACCATATGATTTTTTTCGTTTTTTTAAATATTTTCTTTCCATTTTACATGGTATTTTCTAATTTTGAATAGTAAATAAAAATAAAAGTATAATATAATTCCTAATAAAAAGATAGTTGTAAGACCTATAATAAAAATAAGTACTCCTTCTGTTAAAAAAAGATAAGACATTTTTTATTTTTTAATTTGTAATTAATGGATTTTCTTAAACTATCTTTAATAGATTAATCACTCAATCCTTCACCTTTAAGTGAAATATTTTATTAAATAAGGGCAAATAAAAAGAGAGATTGTTTGTTTAAAGACAATTAATTAACATATTTTATGTAAATTTATAATTTGAAGTAATGTTACTTAAAATTTTAATTTTATAATTTTACCATTACAAACTCGCCTAATCTTTATCCCCCTCTAATTAAATTGAAGATTTATGTCCCTTGGATTGCATGGGTACAAAATCTAGTTTATACAAGGATAGAAGTAGTTTAAGCTCAGTTTTGAACTAGTGAGCAGAAAAATGTGTCCTTCAAAGCATGTGCTCATGAAAGCAGGGGAACCAATTCTGAAAATTGTAATACAATTGACATTATTTGCAAACTAGATTTTAGTGACCATGTTTCATGTAGAGTTTGAAGTAAACCTTATTGGTTATACCTTATGAATAGCGTTGCTTATTATAAATTATATGGAGAATTTTAGCAGATGATTAGGGGTGTGACATAATAATAAGTAAGGCCTATTACAATTTGAATTTTTAGTTTAGTCTAAGAAGACTGAAATGAAATTAATTTAAATAATAAAAGAATTGAAATAGCCTCTTTTTAAACATTAAAATAATAGTGATTAGATTTACATGTAATATTGAGAAATTAAAAATTAAAATTGAAAATTCAACGACTAAGTTGTTCCATAAATTACCCATTCAATCAGTTTATTTGGATTTATGAAGCAATATCAGTTGTTAATATGTCAACTATACTCATTGATTCCCAACATCACTTGTAAATTACTTTACTTGATTGATGATCCTTGATTTATTTAATTAATTTATCTAAACTTATAAAACTACATCAATTGTTAATATCGCTACTTTTTAATTCCCTAACATCACTTGTACATTACTTGACTTGTTAATTTTTAAGAAAATGAGAAGACTTGTTAAATCAATTTATTCAAATTTATGAAATAATTTTAGTTGTTAATTTCTTAATTTTAATTGTCAATTTCCCAACATTACATGTAAATTTGACTGTTATTTTTTAATTTTTAAATATATGCTACTTTGATCTTTTCATAATTTAAATTAATTTTATTTTAATCTTGTTGAACTGAATTAAAATTTCAAATTTTAATGAGCCTTATTTACTATCATGTCACATCTCTGACCTTTTGTTGAAATTTTCCCTAAATTATATATATCTATAGGTGCACATATTGATTCAATGAGATAGAGAAACTTATAATAAGAGCTTAAAATTTTGAAATTCGGATTGAACGAAGATATAGTATAAGTTGAGGTTAGATCAGTAGTGCTGAAATGAGAAAAATGATCAATGTTAGCATTTGATATTGGAGGTCAAGATATGGAGACCATGCATTGAGGTCCAAAGTTTTTCTTACTACCTGAAAAGCCTGCAAAAGGAATTATCAACAAATAGATAAGCATTTTTATTTAAATATTTTTAATCTAATATAACATGCTTAATTTACTAGCACGAATGACACAACAAAACAAATAACATAAAATATTCCCTTTTGTGGTACGAGTATGCTTCACTCATAAATTACACTTGGAATGTGCAGATGCAGAGCATGAAGATGCCAATTTGCTTGGAGCAATCAGATAACATTTTAAAAGCAGGGAAATGGAGTGATAGACCAAGAAAGGAGCATGTTTGGAGCTAAATAAATATATTCCAGAGATCATTTGGATCCCTTTTGTCCTCGTGTTTTCTTGGACTAGTGGAGGACCACGTCTCTTGTTTATTGTGGAGAATGTTGTGTTGATTTTTGAAGGTTAAATATTATTTTTACTTTCAAAGTATGCTTAAATTTTTTTGTTGATTTATTGATAAAGTATTGTGTAGTTTTTTCTTTTTATCTATTCTCTCCACTTTCTTTCCATTTCTTTCTCTCTTCTTTTCTTCCTTTCACTCATATGCAAAGGATAGCTCAAAGCTTAAAAAGTCAATAAATCCATCAAACAGACTTAGGACACGTTTTAGTATTTCTTAAGATGTGATTTTGTCAAATTTATCAAATAATTGGATTCTCTAAATGTGCTTTTATCATATGTAAACTAAAAATCAAACATACATTTAATTATTAGATTCCCTGCCATCTATTCTATCCAACCTATTTTTGCCATTAATCTTAGATACTAAGGTGAAATTATGATTTAATAGATTAAAACATGAAACAAAATGAGGTGGACAAGGTTGTTAATTTGCTGAATTATAATTTCACATCAGCACAGATTGATAGTGTTAGTTACAAGATTACATGTTTAAAATTGTTAGTATTATCTCATCATCTTTCTAGAAATATTATAAAAATAGAAAGGCTAACATTACATATAAGATAACTTGGAGGAACAAAAGATATTATAAAAATTTATATCAAAACATAATAAAATTAGATGATCTTATAATTATATTTTTTCGGATTAACGGGTTAGATTTTTTTTTTTTAAATTTTCTGACACCAAAATGACGTGGTTTTGGGTTTTAGAAAATAAAAAATAAAAAATAAAAAAATAGTAGCCCAAAATCCTCAGCCTCGTCACGTGCAGTCCTGACCCTGGAAACCTTCACTCCTCGGCCGACCTAGTGTCTCTCCTTCCTTCGACCTTCTCGGCTTTCCCGGCAGTCGGCGTTCTCGTCTGCGACTTGCTTCACCTCCGGCAGCTTCGGCCTTCTGGCGTTCCTGGCAGTAGGTCTGTGGGTCTCGGCGTTCTCGTTATCGTGGGTCCGGCAGCTTCTCTCTCTCCCTCCCCAGTCCCCGCTCGATTCTGGTTCGCTCCCTCCCACTCTTCCCTCTTCCCTCTTCTCATTTCAGTAATTATAGGACTGTTTGTCGGTCTGAGGGTCTCGACCTTGAATTTGTGGTTGACTCTTAATGATTTCACGGGGACTAATGCTATGAAGATGGAAGCCGTGATTATAGGACTGTTATGAATCTCCATTGTTTGCTCCTTATTAGGGAATAAATTCATTAAAATACCTCTGATATCATTGTGGAGTCGAGTTTTGAATCTGCAAGCTATGGAATCAAATGATTTTATCCAGTTTATATTTAGATATAAATTAGCGTGTTGTGTTTTGGATTTGAATACCAATGTTCAGTTGTTCTCTTCAAATTTCCTTGCTCTTCTACCCCTGATTTATGTGTTTTAATCTGTTAGAATTTTTGTTGTAGGTTGTATAAGATATTAAATCTTGGATATGGATGAACGTATTGAGGATTAATTTGTTTTTATTTAAATTATATTATTTTACTATGATCGGTGTGACTTTATTTTGACACCCAGTTCAACCCGAGCTGAACCTTTGACTCCTGACCTTGGCCGGACCGGTCCAGTTTTCAGTACCTTGGTGCTTAGTTCACGCCAGTTCTCCAACCATCTCTGTGCCTCTCCCTCCAACTGTCCACTCCCAAGCAGCTAACCCACGAGGCAAAGACTCAACTAAAGATTCTTCCCTCAAGCGACTTCCCAAGGTATCTTCCTTTGGGTGTCTTTTCCAACCAAAGCTCCAATGGGAGCTGTCTCTGGACCCTGTTTTTGCCTATCGAAGATTCCCTTTGAGGATTTTAGATTCTGTGTTTAGTGCACTGTTGTGACTCTATTATTGAGCTCACTTTCTTGTTTTGATTCATTTTGATGGGGATTTGATAAAAAATTTACGTTGTTTGTTCTTCCGGATCAGCAGTCAGACAATCACCACAAATCATTTATGAGCTAACGTTCTGAAGGGGCTGCAGGGATTAAAAAACAAAAATACACTGTAATTTTCTATTTTTTTGGCAGCCAATGCAACTAGGGATGGGGCAATTAACTGAAAGTCGGAATAGTCTTTCCTGTAAAGAAAACTTCTCTGGGCGTGTGTAATTTATCAATTATGCAATATGTGATTGTGAGTGATGTTATGGTCTTGCAAGGCATGGGCTAACAGTCAGAGAAAGTATAGAGAGAAACCCAAAAGAGAAGGGTGCAAGGGAAATCGAAAAACAGAAAGAAATTGATGAAAGTGAAGGCCACAAGGGGAGAAAGGGAGGTGCTTGGGAGAAGGGATTGTGCGTGATAGAGACATAGAGAGAACAAGTGATAAAGCCAGCAATAGAGGAAGAGTGACAATTTCAATTCAAGTGGGAATGGAAATTGTAGAATCCACAGCTCCAGTGGCAGAAGAATGTGAGCTCTCAATTCCAAGGGGTGGGCCTATATATGTTCCGAATCTGGTTGGTCCCTGCACTAGGGTTGCTGAGTTTGAGAATTCCGTCATCTGTGAACTTCAGGTATGAATCTTCCCTTAATCCTTGATGCTTCTATGCCAAAAATAGTGTGGGAGGTTCTTGCTTCTGCCTCACCCTCTTACACTAAATGTGTACTATTTGCTTTGTTCGTGCAGAATTTAGTGGCAGATTTGCATCGAGACACTTCTGATCTGTATGATGATGATATCTCGTGCGTATCTCTCATTTGCTTTGTTTTTCTTTCTTTCTTTTTTTTTGTTTTTTTGTTTTTGTTTTGTCAGTTGTAATTTGTTCCTTCTCTTTTGCCATTTCAGAATTGATGAGCTTAAAGTATATACGGAAGAGGAGTTAATGAATATGGCAGTGAAGAGAGAATTAAAGGTATGGTGAACAATTCGATTTATAGCTTTCGTATAACTGTCCCATTGCTTATTCTTGTGCTATTCCAGGGTACAGAGAACAATGAAAATTATCCTCCAACTTTGGACCAATCTAATGTAGGGTGAGTAAAATCTAGTGCATAGTTGCAAGGTGTCTCAATTGTATGTTATGTTTTCTTTATGACAATTCGATTGTATTCTACTTTAGCATTATTGCCTTTGACAACTTTAATGAGAGAAAGGCAAAAATTCTCATTATTTTATTTAAGTTCTTTGCCTGTCTAATTTCTGGTCTCTCTTTCTCTCTCTGAAAGTTTCAGGTATCATTCTGATTTATGTAGTGAACTTCATAAACCAGTTAAAATTTTATTGTTGGATCACAGGGCAAAGATAATTTATTTTGAACGCCTTATCCTGTCAATAAAATTCTCTAACTGATGAATGTACATAAAAGCAGTAACTAAACGCCATATTGGTTCTAAATATGCATTCGAGGGGAAATATATCAGTTATTGCATCAAAAATTCAGAATGTAATATATTTTATTTCCTTCCTTACTATACCATTGTCTTCTTTGTTTGTCATGATGGAATTTTATTTTGTTCTGTTAGACATGGTGTGAGAGCCACTGAGCCTTCAGCCTGGTGTTGATAAATGCACTATGTGATTGTGAGTGATGTTATGGTCTTGCAAGCTCACTATCATGCTTATGAACTTACTTCAGGATAGAACATGACCACAGAATATCAAGCAATGGTCTTACTTCATCAAATATGTCTGGTACAGGATCAGATGCTCTTACATTGTTTGAGCCATCAAATCCATCATCTAGAACTACAATCAACAGAATTATGATAGGAAAGAACTCAAGGAGAAGAAGAAAAGGCACAAATGCTATATGTGTTCAGGTATGTTGACTTTCTAAAGGCATGCATGGTTCCTGGTTATTTTTTCAGCTTATAGCATCTAACTCTAATCAATGTAAAAGAAACAGAAGTTGATTTGATTGTTCATGCTGTCTCTTATCTTGTATTGTAAATGGAAATTATTTGCCTGAATATACCAACTATATCTTTCAGTATCTTGTTTGATTTTTCTACATTCAATCCCTTGAGGATGGCTAATCTTTTCTCAGCTGGTAACTTATGATCATAAGGATATGAACCAGTTCAAGTGAACGTGATAAGTGTGTCCATAGCCCCATAGTAGTGTGTGTATTTAATTCCATCGGCAATGTGATTAAATTTGCAGATAGGTTGGAAAGGTAGACTAAACAGTTAGAATCTGCTTTTACATATCTATTATGGAAGTACAATTGTGCCTGCTCTTTTTTGCATGGACAACTGAAGTGTTGAATTTTGTCACCTTCACAGCATGTTCCTGAAGTATTACCTAATATACTCATGCACAGCTTTCTTTTTTCCTTGTAATAGATATGAGTTTACTTTTGTTGAATTCTTTATGCGTTTCTTATATGTTATAATTGACCAATTTCCAGGGTGGTTGTACAGAAAAGGTGGATGAAGTTGTAAAAATCAAGCAAAAGCAGGAAGAGGACAAAGTGGCAGTCAGACTTCATTCATTCAAGTATGTGTTTTGAATATATGTATGATTTTTCCATTTCCATATTAAGTTCTGACTTTCAGTTGTCTCTTGTCTAGTCCTGCTTGCAAGAACAATCAATCTGCCCTCAAGTCAGCTAGAACTGAAACAATGAGATCCCTTAGGTCTACAAGTTCTTCCAAAAAGGTTAGTTTGAGATTCTCCACTCATCTAATGTGCTAGAAATTGTTTTGGGTTCATTTTGATGATATATATATATATATATATATATGCACACACGTACATACTTTATAGATGTTATGCTTTTATATTTTTTTAATTTGTTTTTTTTTTTAATGTTATAGCCTTAGAATATTGGATCATAATTCACTCATATGAGGCTATTACCTGCCAGTGTCATTTACCCTTCATTTTCAATTGAAAGTAAATCAACAGATATACAAGATGACAATCTTATGAGAAATTGAATCGCCAACACTAACCCTTAAAATTTGCAACTTGACTTTCTTACATAATGAATATTGGAGCTTTTATTTTTCATTTGATGTTTTGTCTTTTATCCTTTTTATTTACCTATGATTGAGTAATTAAAAAATGAAAAAAAAAGATTGGAGGAAAAAGAATGTAAAACTGGGGAAGGCAATCAGTATGTCAGGCCAGTTCTGATCACTGTTTTATTGCTCCTTTGCACTAATACATCAGAGAGTAATTAGAGGATGATTGATTTTTAATTACCTTCCGTTAATACCCTTAAACAGAATATAAGATGCTAATCAGAGAGAAACAACAGATACTAATGTATCTGTCACTGAAAACAGAGTAATAAAAAATTGCACCCAATAAAGGAGAAGCTTAGTTTATGTCAGCTCAGGCTTCTTCTGTGGGCTATGATGTCCAATAAAACTCACTGGTGAGATGTAACTGAGATGACAATGTAATTTGAAGTTCTCTCATGAGAGGATTCTTGTTTCATGCTATGTCTGTGCCGTTCTTTTCTGTGAATTTGGGGGAGGGGGCTGGGGCATTACATTGATCGGCTTATCTTTTTCTTAAAATAACTTCTGGTGCTGCTAGATATGTTCTTCTCTCCGGTTCAAATAAACATTAAACATGTATTTATATTCTAGATTTTATCTTGGAGATGATGATTTTACAGCCAACTGTAAATTTTCCCAAACTTGAAATCAATCATTTGTGATGGTAAAATTTTTTGATTCGAAGATGACAACCATGCTTTTATTGTCTACTGAACACTGTTGTTATCTTGTAAATATTTGCATCCTGTCTACTCACACCGGATGATTGGATTTTCGGAATTTTATTTATTTCAACTGATTCTTATAAATTTTTGGACTATCATGGAAATTTAGTACTTTCCCCCATTGACGAAATATAAGAATTAATATTTTGAAGAAAACTCCTATAGGAAGAAACCTAGACCAGTGGCTTATTATTATTGTATTTTGCTTGTAAGAAACCTATCTAGGAAGAAGTAAGTTACTTTTGTGCTATTTTAATACTTTTATAAAGAGGGAAATCTGAACATTAGCTTTATCTAGCCAAGTTATTAAGGTTCCCTTAATTGGTAGGGAAATTTAGTTTAAATAGATTAGGCTTTGTTCTTGTAATGTAGATTTGATGAATGAAATATTGTGATTGAGTTCCTGAAGCCCTTCCCCTATCTCTTTGCGTCTGTCTCCCTCCATTACTTTGCCGCTATTTTGTTCTTCATCTTCCTCATTTCTTCCTCTTTGTTTCTGGTTTTCTCTACTCTCTCCCTCTATTCAGCCCTGTGCAAGTGTGTGTCTTACATCACCCATCTTTCATGTTGTCGTTTGTTCCTGATCGTTCTTCCTGATTAATTTTTGACAGCTTAAGTCAGAGGGTCTTCAGGAACACATACCTGTGCTGTATCCTGAAGTTGTACTAACTGTGGAGGTTTACCATAATGTTAGAAAGTGTGTAAAGGTATTTTAATGCATTTTTTTATGTCAATGACGGTAATTTATCTAACATGTAACAATTATCTTACATTACTCATGACAAACGATGTCTTTTTAATTAGACTCAAGAATTACTGGTTATTGGAGGACAGACTTTAACTGCTTTAAGGGACAAGATCTTTTGCTCAATGGATCAGGTGATGCAAAAAGCTGGACAGCATGATCCTTCTGGCTATTTTCTCATTGAAGTAAGCACCTGTACCTGTTCTTATGATCAGGGGTTACTTTTGGGTTGAATCTAACTGAAAGCCTCTTCTCTGTAGGATGTATTCTATGTTGATATGAGGGATCCGTCTGCTATTGATTATACCTTACCCATATTTGATTGGCTTAGAAACTCCAAGGAGGAGGCACAAAAAAAATGGGATTGTATAATAACTGGGGAATTAAGACAAAAACAAAAAGCAATCATGGGTGAAGCATCTGTCTCAGAGCTGCCTCACTTAACATCTGTTAACATGCAGAATATACGATTTTGTGACATAAGATTCCGACTTGGTGCTGGATTCCTCTACTGTCACCAGGTATTTTTCTAGCTTTATGTTCTTCATTTCTTAATTTCATGAAGGACATAGACTATGCATCACATGCCTGGCTGAAAACAAGTTTCATTGTATTCTAAATTTATATTCAATTATATTGTAATAAGTTTTTATTAGACTTATTTAATTTTTTTATTTTTCAAGTTTAACAAATAATATGGGGAAATTTCCTTTTTTCCCCCTTTTTGGCCAAAATTAGAGAAATTTCTTTAATGTGAGGGTGGGAGGACATTCTATAAGCATTGACTAGATTTTTTATCCTATGGATATGAGAAAAATGACACGATTTAATGGCAAAAGAATGAGACTATTGATGCATATTAATTAGAAAAGAGACGCCCTTTTTTGTGTCCTAATTCGGTCCCAACTGAGATAATGATTTATGGAGCCATTCTTTGAAGTCTCAACCTATATTGATTGTCATCACTAAGCTTACCCTACCAAATCTTCATCATATACATGTTATTTTTATTTAGTCATAACTTTTTTCTCTCATTTTTATCTTTTTCTCATCTACTAAATCACTTTTTTTTTTAATTTTATTTCATTCTTGCAAATCAAGTGGACTTTTAGTTTGGTAAGAAAGCATGGTAATTTGTTTATTTGCTGCTAAACTTGCAGGGAGACTGCACTCACACACTAGTAATACGAGATATGAGGTTGATTCATCCTGATGATGTGCATAATCGAGCTGCTTATCCAATAATTACTTTCCAACTAAAGTTGCGTTTTCAGAAATGTAGTGCTTGTAAGATTTTCAGAGCTACGAAGGTCACTGTGGATGACAAGTGGACCCCAAAAAATCCTTGCTATTTTTGTGATGAATGCTTTTCTCTTCTTCACATAGCAGAGGATGGCTCTCTTCATTATGCAGACTTTCTGGAGTATGATTATCACCATGATTAGCTGCCCTCAGCCATACGTTTAACTCGTCAATTGCCAAATGGGGTATCATGAAGATCTATTGGGATTTTTTATTTGATGAGAAGCAGTGAGAGTTCTAGGCATCTGTTTTGCAATTCACTAGAATTAATGAAATGATTTGTTTTGGTTTGAACAATTTGAAGCATCTGTTCAAATTGCAAACGGACTGGGTGCTCATCGCCTCTGGTTAAATTCACATCCAGAAAATCTATGCCGTCAGTGAGGATTACTACTTGTACTCCCAAAAAAGGAAAAAAAAACAAAAAAAAAAATAAAACCACATTCAGATGGCTTGTCATTTTGGAACCTCCTTTTGTTGCTTTGGAAGGTAACTTCTTTAGGGGCCCAGTGCAATGGAGATTATATGGGTGCCTATTTAAATTATCTTGTATCATATTGTCTGATCAGCATCTTATTGCAAAAGATGTGAAATCGTGCCAATCTATAAACATGTGGATCCTTGTTACAGGGGGTTTTTATCTATATATATATATATATATATAAAAGAATAACAAGTACATTTCTATGGATGGTAAGTGTTATTTTCTTTACAATTTCAGAAAGTCACGTAAGATTTTATTTACAAAATTATTTTTAATCATGAATATAATTTATTTTTATTCTTTCATTTCAATAACTTCTTGTCACATGATCTAACAATTTTTTAATTTCACGATTCCTCTTTTAGATATAGTTAGTTATTCAATATTCTATCATTTTAATAATTTTTTTGCTCTACAATTTAGTTTTTTATTTTTTTAATTCATACATATAATTAAATTTAAATATAGATAGTTATTTAGATTATTCATTTCAATAATTTTTTAACTCATGATCTAATAATTTTTCAACCTCATGATTCCTTTTTTAGATATGGTTAGCTATTTAGTATCTATCATTTTAATAAATTCCTTACTCTACGATTTAATTTGTGATTTTAAAATTCATGCATATAATTAAATTTAAATATGGATAATTATTTAAATTATTCTATTATTTTAATAATTTTTTAGATCCATGATTCACATAGAATTTGGTGAGAATATATATATATATAATAGATAAATAAGAAACACTTTTTCAAGTATGACACATAGGATTTTTTTTAAATATTGCAATTTCATGCTATTTACATCATTATTAATTTTTAAAAACATTTTTCTAATTTATAAGATTATAATTTGAAAATGTAACTTCTCTCTTATGATTTCAAAATCTCAAATATAATTTTTCAACTATTTCACAATTTCAAATTTTATTTTTAAAAATCTTATCTTTAATATTCTCTCTCATAATCTCAAATATAATTTTTTGAGTATTATCATTTCGTGAATAATTTGAATTGATATGATAATTTTATGAATAATAATTTAAATGATTTTTTGCAAATTAAGTCATATAAATAAATAAATAAAAACTGAATGATAAATGTATGAATTAATAAAATATTTATAAGTTATCCATGTCAACATTAATTTCTAAAAATAATTTTTTTACATAATACCAATTTTTTTATAGATGATAATAATATTATCTTAAATTGTAGAAACAGCTTTTTTTTATCCCTAAATTTTCTCTCCAATGATTCTATTATTATAACTTTCCAACTTCACCACAACCTAAAATATACAATTTCAGCATGCACATTAGATTTTCTATCAAATCTTCTTAAATATTAAAAAAGTATTATATTAAAAATTAAATAAGTTATTTTAATTCCTATTTTTCCTCATTTCTCTCCCACTCTCCTATCATCATAACTTCTCATAATTTTTTTTATTTTTATTTTTAAAATTTTAATTACACAAATACACAATCACATTGAGCAGTTATAAAGCACATGAGATTTTCTTTCAATCCTAATATCATTCAATTGCTCTATTCCCTTATCAAGACAAGCAGAATCACAAAACTCTCATTATCTCTGGCTTCTTCCTTTGTCACCAATGCCTTCTCACCCCTTGTGTCATCTTTTATGATAATTTTTCATTCCTAATAAATGGTGTGATGAGGTTGTTATGTGCTTGTAGATATCGAAAGAGCAATTCAATTTTTGATATATCTCATATTCATGGTAGATACCAGGTAATTGCACATAAGCGTGCATTTTATAATTTTTTTTACTAAATTTTTCTCCATCATTCTAAATCTGTCTTTCATAAGCAATAGAACTGAAAAAACTTACTATGCTCTATTTTCTTGAAATCATGGTTTCATAAAATTTAATTTTTTGTTTTTGGAATATTTATTGTAATTGTATGATGATTTGTTAATTATTTTACAACTCTGCAGGTATATTAGAATTGAATGAAGAGGAAAATATATATTGACATGGTTATTCACATCAACGCAAAGTAATTTTTTTCTTCCACTCTTCATATATCTTGGCTCTTGAGCATCTCTTTATAAATCTTTTTTGAAAAGCATACTCATAATAATTTACTCATAGTGATCCAAATTTCTTAATTTCAAATGATATTTTAATGATCTATGTTTAATTTTAATTTTTATTTGAATTATAAATGTCAAATAAATTAATCAAATTTTAAATTTTAAAAATTATATATAATTTGTATTTGAAGATAATGACTTAACCATCAAATTTGTATTTTGATCTTGATGATATTTTATATTATAATATCTCAGTTACAAGATTTGAAAATATTGATGTTTGTGTGAAAATTAATTTTCAATATATATTAATGTTTATTTGTTGATATTTATAAATCATAAAATTATAGTACTTTAAAAAAATTTTCCCTCACATGATTTAATAGAAAAGATGGAGCCATGTAATTTTTATATTTATCTTATAATCTTAATTTGTCATGGATTATATGTGAGAAAAATATTAAAACTATCTAATTATTAGATAAACCTACAAATGATAAGGAAAAAAAATACAAAATTGCAGTATCAGCACAATAAAAAATAATAAAGTATATTGTCATTTACAAAGAAGATATTTCAACAATTGTGGGGTGTAGAACTTGATCAACTATAGTAGCTTCTCTATTAAAGTGAAAACAAAACAAAGTAAAAAAGATTGGTAGATGAGTCGAAGAAAAGAGGTGAAAGATATGAAGAAAGAGGCCACCCATGGTTTTGAGCATTTGGGGAATTCATGATAAATTTTTTAATTTTTATTTTTTATAATTCTACACTCATCTTATTAGTTAATATTATAATTTATTTTATGTAAACTTTTTTCATTTGTATTTATTAACATTCTAAAATAAAATTATTTTAAGTTATAAAAATACACCCGTGCATTATAAATACAACCATACTAGTTATGTATAATCTATGAAACAATGTTGTTATAAACATAATTGATTGGAGTACTGGTTTGGTTAAATCATGTTTTTACTAGTAGTAATTAAAAAAATAAAATTCAAAGAATATGTATGGAATATAAAATATTTTAGATAATATCATCCTTATCCTTTTTAGTCTACTTCTCCCAGGTGGTTAGAAAAGATAAAGTAAGGGTGCAAAGGGAAGCTTCTAGACCTCTTCATAAAATAGTAAAATTTTAATATGTTTGTTAAGATTTCTGTTATAGTTTTTCCAATTTTTTTGAAAGTAATTATCTTTATTATTTTTATGTTTTGTCAATTCCTTCCAGTCTTTGCAAAATTCTTTCTTTTTGAAAGATATGCTATCAAGATTTTTCTTGCTCCAAAGGAAAGTGTAATTAGAAAATTTTCACTCCCTCGTTCCAATCATTATCATGACACGATTCTTTGACCAATAATTGGAAAGATTCCTCAAGCATTTAAGTGGGCATAACGTTTAAAGGGGTTTTTATGGTGCTTTTGATAATTCTTGTAATCAAGTTGAATTCTAACAAGATGATGATCAGAACTACATTTAAGCAGATGGTAAGTACTAATTTGATGAAACGTAACTCTTCACTCCGAGTTACAGAAATCCAATCAATTTTTTTAAAAAAAAATATTGCTTTTCTTCAAGGTAAATCTATCACAATAATAATAAGTCTTATTCATTATATGGAGCCAGCTATATAGATTATATGATGTTATTATACTTTGTCATTTATTAAACGTTTTAGAAATATTTTTATTAAAAGGTCTCGCTCAACAATTTTAAAAAATTTCTCTTTAGTTTTGCTCTATCCTTTTTAATAAGAATTAAAGTCATCTTTTTCACTTTCCTCACAGGTGTCTTATGTTGTCTTTTTTGTACATGTCACTTCAAACGATTTTTTTGCCATTTTTTCTTCAATAAATGCAACACTCACTTTTTTCATATTCGATCATTTTGAATTTTTGTCTTTATGTGTATATCCATACATCCATCTCAATATTCTCATTTTTGCTACTCTAATTGTATGATCTTGTTGTCCTATCAAAGCCTAACATTCACTACCATATAATATTAGTGGTTTTATAACAGTTTGATAAAACTTCCCTTTAAATTATTAGGTACCTTATGAGCGCAATAACTTCTTAGCATTTCTTTAATTAAACTACCTAGCTTGTATCTTATGTACATATTTCCATCAATTTTCTCTCATTATATTGAATAATCGCTCCTAGATATCTAAACTTTTTTACTTGAGGTATGATCTAATTATCCAATTTTACTTCTAAGTTACTACTCATTGACCCTTTGTCAAAATTTACAATGTAGATATTCTATTTTACTTCTACTCAGGTGGAAATTTTTTGACTCCAATGTCTTTCTCCATAACTTAAGTTTACAACAATATTTTCTCTTGTCTCCGCAATAAGAATTATATCATCTGCAAAAAGCATGCATTTAAGGCTTTCCTTGAATATACTCAGTCAAAACATTTAAGACTAGATCAAATAAATAAGGACTCAAAGATGATCCTTAATGCAGCTTAATCTTTATAGGGAAAGTCTTTTATTTCACCACTAGTTCTTATACTAGTTGTTGGCCCCTCATACATGTCTTGTATGGCTCGAATATAGGCAACCTGAATACTCTTCTTTTCCAATGCCTTTCAAAGTACTTCTCGTCGTAGATAATCATAAGCTTTTTCTAAATTAATAAAAATCATATGTAAATATTTACCTTTACATCGATACTTTTTTATTAATTCCTTTAATAGATAAATCACTTTTGTAGTCACCCTACCTGGCATGAAGCCAAACTAATTCTTAAAATATTAGTTTCAATCTCATTTTATGTTCAATCACTCGTTCCTATATTTTCATAGCATGACTCATAAGTTTAATCTCTTTGTAGTTAATACATTATAAATATCTCCTTTATTTTTGTAAATAAGAATTAAGGTGCTTCTCTTCCAATTATTAGAAATTCTCTTGAATTGTAGATTTTATTAAATAACTTAGTTAATCACTGTACTCATTCTTCACCCAAATATTTTCACATTTCAATAGGATACAATTAGGTCCATTGGTTTTATGATTTGCCATTTTTTTTAAGATCTTCCCTTACTGTCGCAGCTCATATTCTTCAATAAAATGAAAATTTTGCTTTCTTTAAGAGTTATTAAATCTCTCAAATTAACTGACAAACTCTCATCATCATTAAAAGTTTAGAAAATCTATCACATAGAAATTTAATTCAAGGTTGAAGGAATTGATGCGATGCCTAAAATGTTTTATTGATATCCAATTAATTTTATCCATTGTCATCATACTTGTGACCTGAAAGATAAGAGTTAACATTGTCAAGTAAGTAAAATAATTGAATTTCAAATATGGTCACAATTTTAAGGATTTGGGTCACCAAAAACATAATAGCAAGATCAGAGTTAATTGTTAGATAAAACATAATCTTACAATGCAGCAGCACTTGGATA